AAGTGGAAGCACCTGCTGGCGGAGGACACCAGTGTGGCGCGCAAGGAGGACGAGTGGTGGGCGCCCCCGGGGGGTGGGGGCGGGGAAATGGGGGGTGTTGGGGTGTGGACGCAAGCTTGCGTTGTATGGGTGTGTGTGTCATGTGCATGTGCATGTGTATGTATATGTAAGGGAGAGGAGGAGATAGAGAGTGTGTGTGTATGTGTGTGTGTGTGTGTGTGTGTGTGTGTGTGCGCGCGCGCACGTGCGTGTGTGTGTGAATGTATGCACGGACAACATGCCGTGCATGCGTGGGGTGTGTGCATGGTGACTTGTGTCCGTTCAGGGGTGGGTGAGACGAGGGGGTGGCCAAGGCTGCATGCACGCGCATGTGCCGATGCAAAGAGGGAACAGTATCGGCCCCGGCAGGCTGCGGCCAGCCCCCGCGTTTGGGAGCCGCCCACCCTGGGGTCGTTCGCCCCCGCAGCGCCCGTGCTGTCCGAGCAGCTGCACCGGCGCCCCACAGCCCAAACCGCTCAGCGGGGCGCCCCCCCTCCCCACCCAGCCCACCCAGACAGAGGCCAAAGGTCCTCGGGTTACAAAGGACAGCTTGGCTTATCTGGATGGTAACAGACGCATCTCCCTTCTGCAATAATATCCTATGGTACAAGCAGCAAAACTTATTGGAGCAGGAAGTGCTCTGATTGCATTAGCAGGTGTAGGAGCAGGGATTGTTATTGTTTTTGCAGCTTTGATCCAAAGCGCAGGACGTAATCCCCTAATGGCGAAACAATTGATGGGGTATGCCCTTCTCGGTTTTGCGGTATGTGAAAGCATGGCTAAGGCCACATTGATGGCTTTCTAGGGCCGGTGGCCCTAAGGCCAAAGGCCTTCTAGGCAGCCGCCAGAGCGGCGAGGGGCCGCCTTAGGGAGCCGTCTTTGGCGGCCCTCGCGGCCTCCGAGGGCTTTTAGCCCACTCACCCATGCCCTCCTCCTGCCCTCTCCCTCTCCCCGACCCAGCTGCCCAGCTGCCCCACATCCCCATCTAAGAAATCCCCTTCCCCACCCAGCGCTCAACCACCCTCAACCCACCCCTCACC